GATACATTCCCATCGCGGCGGGTTTCCTCCCGGCCGACTCGTTTCGGCGGCCCAATTGACGAGGGACTCATCGATCGTCCGCTTAACTGGCTCTCAATCTAGCTACCCGGTCACCGGGTACCCGGAGATGCAGCGCCCGCTATCCTCCCTCTAGCATTTCGAGGAATCGGCTACGTAATCTCGCATACCGACGCTAAGTTTCTATTTTGTTGGCCAAAAAGTCTCGCCGGCCGTTTCAGCGAAGTTTAACCTTCTGTATTCGTGCAATGTTTCTCGTTGAAGTATCCATTACACTTTCTGATGAAGAACCGATACATTTCACAACCAACGCGAAGATCTTGCATAAACTAAGGGACTATTTTATTTGAACGTCGCATACGTTGATATAATATATGTAATATGGAATTTTCAATTTTATAATCTTTCTGCATTGAATCAAATGGCGAGTGCAGAGGGTCAACACTAGAGCTACCAGATGGGTCAAAATGAGCAATTCCTAATTGCTTCTTTTACAGTTGCTGCAAAGGTACAGATACTTCTTTGAAAAATGAATAACGAAGCTGATTTGGTAATACCTAAACTGAAATATGAGCCAATTAAAATCTCAGTAAATCCACGTTTGTAGTTTTCATAATGAAATGGTCAAAAGTCAGTTTAAGTGCTTGGTACATGTAGTGTTAAGGTAGCCTAGAACACAGTTGCCAAGATGCATTAACCTGCATACGTCCACCAGAAAAATAAGTATTTGTATTCATAGGAACTGCTATTGAAAATGTTGATTCGTCAACACATCTATGGGAAATAAGTATATCGAAACTAAACAATCAGTTGTCTCGTTGTTCTAGTGTCTCATGAGGTACCCTAGCATGAAATGCACCTGAGCAGAGACACTGCCTAGTTGTACACTAGCTCTACCCTAGTTCCTAAGCTCGAGGATCCAAGAAACTGGCCCCGGGACACTCGACAACAGTCCCCGGCCAATCCTTCAGCTCCGCGAGCTATTAAAGTCATGGGGTCACTGTTACTCGCTAGGTATCCCAGTAACAAGGCCTGTTACATAACCTGCAAATCGCATACCCGGCGAAAGCGATCGTACGTGATCGTTTCAGGGAACCAGTCGGCTAGGATCGGCGAACATTCCTTTGCTGCGTATGGTGGCTATTTCATTCTCAGCAGTAACAGTGATCGATAAACACCGCATTGGTTAGGCGGCTGAATTTCGCTAGAGCCTCCATAGTCGCCCTCTACGCGACCATGTTGCTCAGTCGGTACCAGGGTGCGTTGCCGACCACGCGCAACCGTTGTTACAATATGGCGACAACGGTGACGTCACAGCCACCAATGCCCGAGTTACATAAACCCCCATTGCTTTGTCCCTCTCTTTCCGCTTCTATTTCCTGTCTCTTAAGCACCGACTCCCTTCAATCACGGGCTAGCTAACTATAATCCTCCTCGCTTCCTTGAACCTTAGCGAACCTGCTAGTCTCGAATCTCAATGTAGTATCCTAACTTACAGGACCTAAGTCATCGGGACCGGCGGGCGAGTTTGTGAGAGAATCGGTTGCTGTTAATGGACCTGGCAGGATGCTGAGGATTCCAGGGACGCTTGCAACTAGAAAAACTGATCCACCAGGTTTAGAGCGGTTTTTCTAGAATCTCCGGGCTCTAGGTGCCCGTTCGATGAAGATGGTTGACTGTTCCAGGTCGCGCGGGACCTGAAGCACATGCCTGAAGCGCCGGTCGACGACGTGCTCGTCTCGGGGTACAGCATTCTCGTTCATTAGGGCGAGACCGTATCCTTACTCGAGTCTCCTTCAAGCCTCTTAACCGACGGAGAACTATCTTACAGCTCGCGAATATTTTCTCTTTCTAATTAGATGCGCGGATACCGGTTCTCCCGAATCTAATTAATTAGCTGAACAAAAAGCAATCGGCGGGGAGATATATTTTTAACGTATCCGCGGCGGCGAGCGATAATTAGCTGGTAAACACGTCTCAACCCTTCGCCGACTCGCGAAGGCGATGCGAAAACTTGTAATTTGAACAGAATGGCCTAATTAAGATATCCATCTGTTGGGGAATAAGAGGAAGAAGGTTTTAAGCGTATTAGTTGATCGTTCGAACGAAAATAGGAGCACCGTTGAGGAAACGTGAAGAGTATGGAAGGTTGAGGGCTGCGAATGTAATATAAGAGATCGCTGCTAGATCATAGATGCTAATACGAGATGAACAGCTTCAGAGACAGAATTAGTGGACATAATTTTGAAGCGGAGACGCGAGCTAACGCGAGATGCATCGCGTGAAATGAATACGGGAGTGTATTCAAATTAAGAAATGAAAAAATATTGAATTTGCATAGTGGCTCACCGAAGGTAGCAACGGATGGCAGCACCCTTAACCTTTCATTTCTCTGCTGGCTCGTAAAAAGATCCCTGGAAAAAAATGAATGGATTTTATTCAAACGAAATTCAATGATTACATTCGTTTCTGCGTTGAAAAATCATGGGAAAAGAGCTTCGGGGTTGGCGGAGGAGTTGGAGAAGGTTAAATGGTACGGCCTATGGTAGTTCCACGTTAATTCGTGTCTCGATTCCAGGTTGGCTTACAGCCCTCGTAAACTTGCACCGTAATTACGCGGGAGAGCGATAAAGCAAGACTTAAAATATACGATGGACCATGACAAACCGTTGCACAGCACGAACTAGGCGCTAGCGATAGGAATCGAATATTTCGCTCGCCGGCCAGAGCACAAAATAACCGTCGCGTTCAACGAAGGCTTTCCTAACTACTGGCATATTTATTTCGAGCGAATGGAAATCATTCGTTCTTTTTATTAACGCTGGAGCCACCCTACCAATCAACATAACTGGTTTCAATTTTCTTATTCTGCAATCACCGATGCCACGGACGGGTTCAATATCCAAAACTGTGTAAAAAAAGCCAATGGTTTCATTTGCATAATGTAATGAGTATCGGTAGAAGTGGACAAATATACGTTCATTCATTTTTATAATTATACATTAATTTCGCCGAATAATTTGGCGATTGCAGTGGTCAAATCTAACGTGGCGAGTGAACTATGAAACGGATACATTAAATTGGGGCGATAAAATTGGGATAGATGTTGAAAGTTAGGACGTATTTATAACAAATTAATTTTCTGTAGCGAGAAAGAGGAGTGAATGCATTTTTTTTGTTTCATTTCTATGAAAATTTTGAAAAGAAAAATGATTCCTGCGTTATCTAGTGCTAGTAAATGATTGTACTGTCTTTTGTAGATAATACAGACATCTTAAATAACATTACCAAGAGATAGGTTTCCTTTGATTCTGCATTATCTACGAAGATAAGTGACGTACTTGATAAATTCGGTAACAGAAATGTTTTTCAACGTGATTTTCGTACGTTAATAACAGCTGGAGATTGAAATTATAATTAACGTATGAACTATCGAACATTCACGAAGAAAAAAATATGTAAAAATAATATCTGTTTCCGCCCGGGATCGAACCGGGGACCTTGTGCGTGTGAAGCACACGTGATAACCACTACACTACGGAAACTGAGATGTTAGTCATTTGCTAAGAATTTCTGAAAACGCAGTATTTGCCCTAGTTATGTATTGTAATATTTTAAATTCGAGAAACAACTTTCAATCGTCACTTAATTCGAAGCAGCAATATTATAAAACTACAAATTTGATGTAAAATTTTGTATAAATGTATCAACACATAAAACGTTGAAATAAAGTGGAAGAAACTCAGTTATTAAAAACTTACGAGTAACGTTAAGACACTAAAAAGAGACTGAAAACGCTAAAGACACTAAAAACACTAAAAAGCACTTAAAAAAAGAGTACATATTTGACTAATCGTCTTCCGCAACTCATTTCAGTTCGAACAAATCCAACATGGCGGCGGAAGTGTATAGTCAAGCGCGTGTTCGAACAGAAAAAGTGCTGTTCACATTTATATAAAATATTTTTGCACTCTTATAATTGAAAAAGATATTTGAGAGTCATATTTAACATACGGACACACAATTTTTAAAACTTTTACAGCTCTAGAACACTCTTTTTATTCGAAGTGTATTAGGGTTGTTTGCAAACTACCGAGTAGCACAAATACATCTAGGTGTCTAAATTTCTAAAGTGACGAATGTCTAAATGTCTGAATTTATAAATTTCCGAAGGTACAAATGCCTAAATTTCCAAAGTTACGAACGTCTAAATTCCTTAAGTTACGACTGTCTTGTGAAATGAAACGTTGAAACGTGTAACTTTAGAAATTTACACATTTACTCGAAACAACGGCAACACCAATAGAACACCACTCAAAATGCCATTGCTATTGCGCCAACGTGATAAGCAACACACCCTGTACACGGTTTAAGGAACACACAATCCCTGAGGCGCGCGTCGCGAGTTCGCAGCCGGAGCTTCGATCGCGAGGGGCGATTCTCGGCGCAATTAGTGAACATCACGCGATGGGGAAAGTGACGAACAGTCCTAAGCTCGGCGACAACGGCAAGAAGCCGCAGGACAAGAAGAAGAAAAGAAGAATCAAGAAAAGCTTGGACGATCTGCACCGAAAACTCGGCAAACCGGCCAAGGTACGTTCGTGGACGCCATTACTACGGCGATCGAGTCTGTCCATCGAATCGGCAAACGGAAAAGTTTGCAGATGAACTGCTGTCCCTGTTTGGTTAGGATTCTCAGAGTTCAAATCGAATTTTTCGAAGCAGTTTCACTTCGAAAGCAGCTTCGTATCAATTTAAACAAAGATTAATGAAGATGGAATTAGGGATCCTGGTTTGAGCAACAAATATCGTCAACAGTGTATGTTTTATAGGTTAACTGTGAAATTCTTGTTGCTAGGATTCATCTATAGTTATTGAATCGCTTGAAATATAGACAAACCTCTGGAAACACGTGTTAATCTTTGACAATCCTTATTAATCTTTGATTAACTAGCTGCAGTTAGGAAAACTACTCGTGTGAACTACCGGTGAACAGGTTAAGGGTCGTTTTATCTTCAGTGCACTATGTTAAAGGGTACAAATGAATACTAATTGATTTGCTTTTTGCTAAGTTATCGCTGCTGCAGTGACGAATATTACAGATCTTTAAAATATTCAGTCGTCCAATGAACTACTTACTAAATTTCCAAAATCTACTTCACAATTTATAAAGAAAGAACCTTCTACAATCGAAAGCTTTCACAATATGTACCTCAAACCTTATTCATCCACGAAAGTACGCTATTACTAAGCGAACGGAGAGTTCAACGCTGGACAAGCGAGAAAAGCGGAGAGAAAGAGCCTGCAACGCGACAGAAAATCGAGCATCCGATCACGCAGAAATAGACACGCAGGAGTGAAATCTGTCGTAGAATATTTGTAATCGGAATCGAATGTCACGCGGCCGAGTAAACAAACTCGGAGCCGCAATGAAGCGATGCGCGAAGGGAACGAGACAAAACACGGTACAGGGCGGTTCAGTTTCGCCCCGAGTCTTTTCAGGTTTTCTCGGTCTGGGGTCCCGTTCGAACATTCATTAATCCACGCAATGATATTCTTGTATTATAGGAGACAAAATGAAATTTTTCAGCGAAATCGGAAGTCGTTCGAGGCCTGGCAAAGCCATTTCGTAAAGGTTCTACACCGTTTCGCGGACGTGCGCCAGGAATATGTACATATCGACGAATTTTCGTTCACCCGCGGATCGTTCCCGTGAATAAAACTGATCTCTTGCAGGGCAAAGATACGAAAACCGACGGGAAATCGGGCAAAGAGCGAAACTCGAGGCGAGCAGCCAACAGAATCCTCGGCAGACCCGTAAGTGTCCGCGCGTCGACGTTCGCAGAGACGATGTACTCATCTTCGAAATGACATTTTCAGCTGTCCGGGATATACAGGAATGGCGCCGTGGGCAAGGAAATACGGAGAAGTACGTAAACATTCGCGATTAACCTCTCGCGATTTATTACTCGGCTGTGATCGATATAACTTTCGATATTATTAAGAAAAAGAGTGAAATTATGAGCGTATTCTATAACAATCTTTACTCCAAAGTGTAATAATTGATAAGAAGAGTAATATTTCATTTGAATTCAAGAAAATCGAGTAATATTCGTACTTGTTGAATTCTGTTTAAAATTTTTACGAGTCTGGCGTGTTGTTGTAAAGCAGAGGGTTAATTCGAATAATGGAAGGGTTAATTCATTTTATTCTTTCAGCGCAAACGAAGCTACCTTTCAATGATCTGAACAATGCCAGGCTCGAAGGGGATGTTATGAAGCTTCTTCACGGATACGATGCGAATTCCAAGTGTGTATAAAATAGATACAGATAAAATGAATGTTCAAATTCGACTGCATGAAGAAGAGAAACGTTTTTCTTGTGATTGCCTAGGGGCATCATGATCGAGAGCAGCAACAGAGAAAGATCGAGCGATCAGATGATAGATTCCACCGCAAAGGAGATTTTTCAGTCCACTCTGGCTGATTTAGATTGCGTGAGCCCAGTTTTGCTTAAAATGAACGGGTGAGTGTCGGGTAATTTTTATGGAAACAGAAGATTGCGAAAAATGACGGGGTCATTCGTAATATCTTATGTAAATTGTACGATGGAATGTGTATATTTCATTGGCAATTGTGTTTAGTTTGATTTCTTCGAAATTAGAATTTACTATGGAATCCAGCTATTAAATAAAATTGAAAAATTGTATTACAACTTTTCTCGCAGAAGGAAACGATATTGCAAGGAAGAAAGTGATGGAAATGCTGACCTTTGGGGGCATAAAATACTATCGCAAATGATTCTAGAAAAAAAAAAATCGACGAACTCAAAATTCCAGCAACACTCCGCCATTCAACGGTACGAGGAACTCTGCGCCACGGTTTCCGCCGAAAATTTCGATAGACTGAGTTTTCCAGACCAATCCGTGGCAGGTATCTAATTACACCGAATCTATCAGAATTCTTAACATTTAATCTGTTTAATCTTGAGAATCTTCACCACGAGTCAAGCACGTTGTTACAAGGCAAAGGGTTAATTGTGAATTAAATTGAATTTTAATGATTTATTTAACATACTTTCTACGAATGTTCTCCAACCACCTCTATCGTGACCCACAGACCCCCTAACAACAGTGAAGAGGAAGCTAAGAAGCACCTACGCGGAGACTTTCCACAACCAATTCCTCCGAGACATGATCAAACGCGGGAACATCATAAGCGAACACACCCCTAGGACCTCCACCCCGAGTCCCATCCTACCGGAAGTGATGTACAGTTCCTCCGGTTACGGAGAAAGCGGTGAACTGATCGCAGGGAACGTGGACAACTCGGTCAGCCAGACTAATCGCAGAACACACACGAAAGATGCCGATTCACTGGTGAATCCGAGCGGATTTCTGCTGTCGAGATCGAATTTCCAGTTGAACAACAGTACAAAAGAGATTCCCACGCCTCGACTACTGTTCAGTTTCCCTAGCTTAGCCTCCAAAAGTACCGCGGACACCGTAGAATCGAAACAGGAGAGAAATCTACGAAGGCTAAACTCTGACGTCGATTTCCTCGGATCGAGCGCGAGAGACCATACTTCGCTAGAAGTTAACTGTCCTCCTAGCCACCCGAAGAACCTGCTATACTCCGACATACCCGAACAGCAAAGAAGCAAAACGATGATTCTAGCGCAGTGCAAAATGTCAAGGGAATCGACGATCAAGAGGCAATTGATCAAACGCAGGAACCAGCGCACGCAGACGACGGGTTCCTTAAGAAGACATCCAGCGATGTCCAACGCAAAAATAGCGCACCACGAGAAGGAGAAGAGCATGAGGCACATGCCGGCCATACTTCGACGTTGCAACAAAGCGAATTTATTCGACGAAGCCTCGCTCGACCAGACAAAGAAGAAGTTCCAGTTTACTCCCGTCTCGCCGCCGTCTATTCGATCCGACCTAACCGACAATTTCAACTGCACGAGTGACCTGGTCGTGCAGACCTGCGTGATAGCGTCCCCAAGTCTGCGCCGGGATGAGTCTCAATGCGACCAGCAGCTAAACAACATCTTCTCGAAGAGGAACAAGAGGACCCAGAAGACAGTGATGTTCACGAGAAAAGACTCGCGAAACGCGGGTCACTGTCTGTTTGTCAACGATATGATGCCCGACAGGCCAGCAGACACCCCTAGCATCTGCCTAGCGAGGAAAGACCTGCTCCAGCAGCAGGAGAAGTGCTCGAGGAACGTCTGCGCAGCTCACAGAAGCTGCCAACGAGCAACAAGCAACTGCCACCGGTCGTTCTGCTGCTCGCAGGTCTCCGAAGACTCGAACTACTGCAGCCAAGAGCTGAACGAAGCTGCCCAGCTGCGACCAGTGCACTTGCAGGAGCCTGTCTTCTGCGAGAAAATGTTGTTGAAGAAGCTCCACCAGCATCCTGTCCGCGAAAACAATCAGCACTGCCATGGGAAGAACCAGACTGTCTGCTTTTTAACTCTAGACGAAGATTCGAGCGATAGGCAGGACTACAGCGGAGTTAGCGCGCCTGCGATGGAGAAGTCGAGGACACTGAAAGATGGCATCTACCGCCACAAGGAAATGGCCGACGTTGGCCTACTAAAAGGCGTCCAGAATCTGCAGATACTACCGATGGAGGAGTCCAGGGTGAAATGCAGCAGCGACCGGTGCATCGGGAAGACAGTGCTGGTGGAAGAGCAACCGGTCAAGTACCTGGCGTTCGACAACGACTCCGAGACTCAAAGGCTACCTATCTACATACAGAAGCAGCCCCAGTTCGCCTCAGCGGATAATACCGACGCAAATTACCGATTGATCTCCTGCCCCGCGGAATACACGCAGAAAATTCTGCTCGTGCCAACGCGGGAGAACAGCAAAGTGATGTACGTGAAGGAAGCGGATCTGAACCGACCCGGTGTGTCTTTCGAGCGAGTCGTTCATCCCAGGAAAATGTTTTACCGACCGGACCAACTGAACGTTCAAAACGCGTCTAACGTTTGCGAGGTACACGTTCCCAAGCAGAACGTCCTGGAAGTTGGGAACCATGGGACGATACTGCAGCAAAGGGACCATGAGAAGAGGTCGAGGAACACCGTCGGTAACTGGTCAAAGGTTCTTTATACGCTAGTGGAGCTGATTTTGGTCTTAAATTTTCGTGAAATTGACAAATGTAGAAATTGGATTGTTTAACAACTTCGCAAGTAGTGTTATACATTTATGACAATGTTTTGTAGGTTGAGCTGAGCACTTGATTACTTTCACGTATGCTTTTATTTAAAATCGTAATGAACTATTTGCTGCGTTTATAGAGTATCGTGATATCGAGGATTGTTATTGAAACAAACGCTGGGAGAATCTTGAACGTTTTAAGAAGAATTATTAATCATTTCGCGGTTCTTACGTTATACTAAGTTAGAATATTAAACATTTTTATTCCCCAGTAATAGTATCAGAATATTGCAATTATGTTCAAGCCATTCGAAGGTCTTGATTATCAGTGACCAACGTAACAATGTATTAAACTTTTCCTTTGAAGAAAGTTTCGCGAACTTTTGCTTATCTCGCGGACGCGTGTAAAACTCAACGTAGTGGAAAAATTTTCTCGCGATTATCGCAGAAACTACGAAGTTACGTTTTATCGGAAAAAGTTCGAATTTTCGATAGCATTCGTCAGTTTCCCGAAAATCCTAGAGTACTGCAGTACTATCAGATTTCTCAAGGAGAATGGGAACATAAAATTGTGTTTTACTTTGTTACAGAACACACTATTGTGAGGGATGCCTGCGCGAAGAATCAAACTGTCTACTACAAAGAGTGACAGTGAAATTCCTTGGAATGTACATTGCATTACGTATATTATTTTTCTGTGGTACTTCAGTGTGGTATACACAATTATTTATTGCATTTTGCCTACAGTGCCTACAGTGGAAACGTATATTTTTTTTAAGTTTGTATATACATTAGCAACGAAGAATGTATACGAGACTTAATTGTGCAAAAGTGAATCGTTGCACAAAGTTGTTTATTCAACGGATCGGATTTCGTTTTGAATTGAGTACGAAGGAAATATTTCCTGGAGAACGTTAGAGAAAATGGCAGTTCAACGTTTGTACGTTTGTAACGTAATATAAATGAAATATAATTATATGCATTATACATGTTACATTATAACTATATTATATATTATATTACAAGATGGTTGTAATGTAATATAAATTATAACCATATTATATATTACATTATATCCATCTTACAATATAATATAAATTATAACCACAACGTAACCAAAATGGCCACCGATTTTCCGTTACACTTGATTCGAATATTTGATACGAATGTTTCTTTTGTACAAACTGCAGCATTACAATTCAATATTTGACTAATTAACGTTTCTTTCGTCAAAAAATTCATTATTCCCTTATGATCCTCGAAATAATACAAAATAACAATACATTGGTAATAATTCTAAGGCAGTGCAACGCTCACAATAACCAAAATGATAGTCTGTAGTGAACAACAAATAAATCATGAATATATAATAAATAACAAGTAGATAAGTGTTAAACATACCCTCAGCAGATGCAGGGCTCTTAAATTCATAATATTCGACACTAATTAACGTTGCACCGAGAAAATGACATTAATTAATCACTTTTTAAATACGAGCACACTCGCTCCGTTGCACTACATTCAGCACTGCGCACGCTCTATACTCTTCCCGCCAGAACTATATAATTCCGTCGACTGCGCAACGCAGAGACGTGGCGCCAGCTGACGGCCATTTTCGAAAGTACCGCGCACAACCATACCGGTGAAATTTAAATGGCGTGATGCGACACGTGAATTAAATTCGAAAATGGGGGAAATGGAGTGTAAAGTAAGAATTGCTTTCCAATAATTTTCGACGGAAAGATATTTAATTAATTAAATCTATAAATCCATGGGGTTAACGGTACACGATAAATAGGATTACCAGGCGCGAAAATAAAGGAATAATTACTGGCCCATTTTAATCAAGCCCCAACAACAATTTCACTCGGCGGCGACGGAAATGACTACGTTAATGTATTTTACATCCCATTATATCGGAAATAACAATTATTTCGTATTCCGCGATAATTATTTTAATGAGTTACTGTTATGAGCGTATGTTATTGCACACGGACGGTTATTTTTCATATTGGGCGGCGTGTATTATGCAGGATTCACATCGTCGATATAATTGTTTATAGGAGTAATAATTTTTTACCGAAAACTGAAGCGTTTGGTTGACTTTATGAGATGAATTGTTGGTAAAATATTTGTCGATTGAAGTGAAGAATCTACGTTAGAAAGATAATAAATAAATAGACAGATAAAGCGTTTATATACTATTGAAAATTAATAATTAATTATTTAAATATACAAAGAGATGTTGATTGCGAACAAAGTTACCATTTATTCTTAATATATCAACGCCGAGAAAGTATTTATTAAAACTACGTATGAAACTATTACGTATAATCAGAAAGTAATTAAATAAGTTACAAAAACATTGAAATAATCATTCAGTAATCCTTTAAAAACCAATGCTCACCAGCCGACGATGTTCTAAATTGCTAATTAAAAAGTAATACTTGATAAATACACTCAACACCTAACCAACTATAAGCATAACCTCTCGCATTACCGTTAATTAAACTCATTCACCCTATTTCATTAAAAATTCTTCCACAAAAGCAAGAAGGGTATCCACTAAATCGCGAATATTCCCATATTTAATTCACTAAATACCAAACAAGAAGGTAAACAAAATAAAAAAGCGATACGTTGCTAAGGGAACGGTAGATCTCACCGTGAAGCGCGAAGGGATGCATGAAAAAGGGGAAAAACAATGCGGTCCCCATCGCGTATGCGTTGGTCGACTAGAAAAATGACGGTGAGAGCGATAGTGGCGTGTGTAAGTCGGAAGAAAAATTATCAGCTTTCTCTCGAACGTGGAAGTATTAAATTCTATTCCTATGGGCACACCGGAGCCGATGGGGTGGGCTCGCAGCGGGGTGGAAACGGGGCTCCGGGATCAGTAACCAATATTTAATCAACTTTCCAGGAGAATATTATTCTCCGGACAAATCAAGGACATATGTATCAGACCGCTAAGGGGGGTTGACGTTCTCTGTATTGATATAAAAGACGAAACTCCGTTTACAGGGCTGTACGCGCCGTTGCGCGCGCGCATGCCCGTGTTTGTGCTCATTCACATTGGCGTATTTACTCGAATCCAGTCGATTCTTTTTTCATTCATCTGAAATCGAAGCAGACATCGATTTAGACAAATGCCGCACGATTTCGTAGAGTAGAATATAGAAACTGGGAAGGATATGATATCAAAATTATTTGATTGAATTGCATTATTATAATTATTATTATTATTATTGCACTTTGAGCTAGCTAGAATGCCACCGTATTGGGTAGCATTGTTTATAATATAGAAATGTTTTCAAATGATCATTGTTTAACTGAATGAACTGTAGTAATTTATTTTGGTTGTGAGTTACAGGCCACTACATGCTATTCAATGTGTTAATTGGAAAACTGAATTGGTGCAAATGGATGTGAAAAGTAGTTTTCAGTTATTTCGTAATAGCTTGCGTATGTTTTTCATGTTTGAGAAGGTTTGTTTAAATGTTAGTAGAGAAGGTTTATGTGAGGAAGGGTTTGTAATGAATTTTTATCCAAGGAAAGTTTGATTGTCACCTTTAATTGCGATTTGTTTCAGTTACTGTCGTGGCTTTATTTACAACAGTCGGTTGTTGTAGTTTCAGTTCGCAGTTTTCGAGTCACGGGACAATTTTCCAATCGAAAACGTCAGATCGGCAGCTCGAAATTCGCTTGCCGTGAAGTATTCGACTACCGCTATTTAAATAACGAATGAGCCTAGTGCACAATTGAAAAGAAAACTGACCCGGAACGTTTTGAATGGTGTTTCAACTAACTTTAAAGTTTGAAACTATGTAACTGCGATATAGATCGTTTCGAAGTACCGTTTGTAATTACTGGAATTGGGTAGAGTTTCGCAGTTTTTATGGGGTTTACGAAAGCTTCGACTGCTTGGGATTTTCGGGAAGTATTCTAGTTTTGAAGTTTTCGGATCTCCAAATTTTAGGATTTTCAAGTAGCAGTTCTCAAGCTCGAAATTTTCAACTTTCTAAGCTTGCAGATATTAAAATCTTCAACTTCTTAAGCTTGCAAATATTAAAATTTTCAACTTTTTACCTTTTCAAACTTTCAAATGTTAAAATTTTCAACATTTTAACTTTCCAAACTTTCAAAGATCAAAATTTTCAACTTTCTAAATATCCGAAGCCTCAACATTTTATCTTTCTAAACTTATAAATATCAAAGCTTTCAACTTTTCAAGCATTCAAATTTCAAAATGTACTCTTCCAGTCTCCAATCCCTCAACTCCCAAGCGTTCAAAACTCCCTTGCTCCATAAAGATCTACTTCACACTACCCACTCAACGTTAACAATTCCTCCACTTCCAAATACCTCAGAAGCCGCTCTCAAAGCTCCGTAAACGCTTGAATCGCGAGGAGACAAGGGAAAAATCGCGGCTTCCGCGCGGAGCTGTTTCGTCGAAGCGTATCAACGTTCCACGGCGATTCCGTGTCCCCTTCGTTAGAGCGTTGTGAAATTATTGACGGGACTACGCCATTGGGGAACTCGTACTCGTGTGTTCCCAGTGTACACACACCACAGACGGCACGGTGTTGCGCGGCACGCTGCGTTCATGGAACGGAATTCCCCTGGGACGGGACACGGGGAAGAGGGTCGCGCGGCAGGGCTGCTCTCATCGTGGCCCTTTCGTGAGAACAAGTGCGAAACAAGTGTCGCACAGGTTCCTGCCACCTATCCAAGGCCAGCCCCGTGTCAGCCTTGTCCATGTAATTTCTCTATCTGACAAATAAATCATGCTTCGTCCTTTATATTCCCTTTATCCTTCATTCCCGCGACGTCGGACGCGTGAGTTACACTATTGTCGATAATTGTTCGAAGGACATTGATGTGCTACGTGTTTTCCATGTGGCTCGTTGCAAATTGTCGGTAACAGTTTGTGTAATAATAATTAATAGCTTTTGTTGGAAATTAAGACTGCGCGTTGAACTCCAGGACATTCACTGTTTGTTTTATGAATCGATGTAGTTTTTGCTGTCTGTTTGAAAATATTCATGATATTTGTGAATATGATCTTTTTCTATTTTCCACGTGGCCCCTAGTAAAGTATCAGCGACATTTTATGAAATAGTAATTAACAGTTTTCCATTCACATTTGGAATACCTTTGGATGAATATTATCCTATATCGTTGTAACAGAACGTTGAAATAATAAGAATGTATTGCTGTCCCAGTTTTAACTTTCCATGATCGATTCGAGTGTTCGAGTAATTATGGACGGCAATGCATTCTCATCGACAGGATGACACGTTCGTCGTGGCTGGATGCTTTATTTACGTCGGAAAACCGCGTTGAAGGAAGAAGGCAAGAGCTGCTAGGGTTGGTTGGAAAATAGGGAACTTTCGTGAATATCTCGGGAATGAAGTAAGCTACAGGTCTACGTGAGGACTTGGTCTGTAGCTGCATGTTTCTTTTATAAGCATGCCAAATCTCGATGTGTTTGCTTGACGCAATGGTGAATAGTACCACTTAGGGCGAAGTTACATCAGGACACGACATGAAAGAGACACTATTGTCAGGGAAAAATTTGAGTTCATTATCTAGAATCATGGGATAATGTAGAAAACTATATATGCATTTTGTAACTAATGAACGGCATTATTATTTTGTTTTTGTCTTATTTCGATAGGTGCATTCCTTCACGGGATACAGACGAAAGATCGTTAGAGTACGTTTGAAACGAAAAGAAATTTAGTGTAACGTTCAGCAGAAAACTGTGATTTCTTCGATGTAACTCTCAATGTCATTGTAATTTATGAATTGTTAGCATTTTTCATGTTACAGAAATTTAATTTCCACGCGAATCATTTTGGCCCGACGATTTTAGGGTCTTCAGGGTAGAAACGTCCCCTAAAACAGAATCGGAAAAACCGTTAAATTAGGGATGGTATAAGATAAATTTAAAAAATTCTTAAACCGAAAATACCATAGTTAGACGACGTGAGCTTTCGAGAAATAAAGATTGAAGAGATGATTGACTTGTTTAAATAATGCACCGCAGAACATTTCTTCGCGTATTCTTAGAAGTTTTCATACAAGATGTCGAAGCAGAATGACAAATGTTTGTGGAAGGAAATGGGCTTTTTATTACCTAATTACTAATTCTATGAGTCTACTTTTAACAATGGATTTAGGACGCAAAAACAGTTTAAATATTCATACATTAATGTGTTTAATTTAAACTACATTCCGAGCTTCCATGAATTTTGTACCGAAACTTTGATCCATCTGCCTCTATTTAAAGTGGAGCTTGTAATGCTATTAAACTACTGTGTGAGGGACGAAAAAATAACGAAAGGTCAGTGAATTGTTCAAAATTAAATTGGAAAAATGACTCATTCATGAGTGATAAAGCAACAATGAAATATAAAATGAAGTAACATTCGCGTGAAAATCGTTGTTAGTAAACTATACTTATTTTACTATAGTTATTTAAATTCAGCTTTCGTAAATATCATCGAGAAAACATCGTTTCGTAAAAGAATCTTCAGTTTCTTCGTAACTTCTATGATCGATAAGCCACCCCCAAGCTTCCTGCGTGCAACAATCCTGAAGATTCAAGAATCCTAAAGAAACATAACTAATTTTATACAATCTACCACCTGAAAATTAAATTAAAATTAAATTGTTAATAATAAAATGAATTCGAGCATCATAATTATGAAAAAGATTGTATGGAAATAAGCTACCCGTTTGTCTTATAATGTAACGAAAACTTCAAGCAGAGTTGAAAGAGTATTATATGCAAACTAATATTAATTATAATATCGCAATAGATATAATTGCAATATAATTATAAGAATTATATGTAACTGCCATTACATGCAATTTCCTTGAAATTAAATATGCTCTATTATCACTGTCCATCCAATTCAAAGCAGAAAGCAAACTCAAAATATTTCCGAACCGTTAACGCTTTAAATGGAAACAAAATATCCAAAATGTACTTCTCATACTACTTGTCAGGAACAGCAATTTTCTATCGTAACTTCGTTCTAATCATATTCTCAAATATTTTAATCCACGACGATCCACAGTCTACCCATAATTATATCACGTAATATCTAATAAATCTCAAACCAATACAAAACCACAAAAAAACTGTAAATTCAAAGGATCAAGGGGTGAAACAAAATCTTCCCTTCCTAGACAAATCGTTCACACAGTTTCCTATCAACAGTATTCCAAACAAAATTCCCAATAAAGTGCCTAAACCAAAATGATCGAAAGCTAATAAAAAAGAAAGAGCAAGTTGAAAGGATGAAAGGTTAGAAAATCCTCTCTTCACCGGTGAGACATTCACACAGTTCCCCAGCAGCTGCCAGCGAAAATATATTTCCAGCCAAACACTCGGAAGAAAATCTAAAGCAGGCTCGAAGTTCAAAAGGTTAAGGGGTTAAAGGAAACCCTCTCCCCGAGTGTGAAGGGTTGATCCGCGACGCGGGCCCTCGAGCCGGCCGTCGCTGCCCTAATAATCGTATCGACGGCGCGGGTGAGCGGGCAGGTCGCGGGTCCCGTAGCGCGAACAACCATCATCAGTCGCGAGAGAACGCCGGCGTAAACAACGGGTCGGGGGTTGCCGTAGGCGAGCGCCGTCGGTGTGTCCGGCGGGCGACCGTCCTGCTGCGGAATCGATCGTAAAATCGAGACCAGTAGGGGGGTCGGCATCATCGAATGATAGCGTTCATTCGGTCTGATGGTTGTCGGGGGAGAGCGCGAGCGACTGAAAGGGTGGCCAGGGGTGAGCAGGAGGGTCGAACGCAGAGGCAGCGTAGTAGGCGTGGCCTCCCGCGGCCAGTAGCACCCGGAGGCGGTGTCGCAGCGGGCGAATCAGCGCGCAAGCGACGCTCCAGCGGCGGCCAAGCGCGTCTCCGCTAGCGACGGCTCGGCCACGCCCCTAGCCGTTGCACCCTCTCTCTCGCCCGGTGTTATTGAATTAAGCTTATCATTTGATTTTGAGGAGACCCACCAGTCGGTCGTCTCGGGCTCTCTTAACCGGGCCGAAAAACTTCTTTCTATCCGCGGGTATAATCGCAATAATTTGATATCGCTGATCCGATTACGCTGTCATAAGCCGCTATCGAGGTGGTGGCTGCCGCCGCCCGTCCCTACGCTGCTCGTCCGCGACCGTGCAATTACGTGACGCAGCCTCCTCCGACTTCGTCGATTAACCCTCGGACGAAGGAAAGCCGTGCAAGGCACGGGCCCGCCAGCCGACGGGCCCCGCGAGCCGCCCAGGACCTCGGGCTCGGTCCTGCCTTGCGTTCACCGGACCGAATGGACCCGGCCGTTCGAGGACAGTCGACTTGGACCCAAATCGGATCTAACCACAGCGAAGTCGTTCAGTTATCCTTCGACGCTCGTCAAGGGAAGTCCCTAGTTCCAGTGAGTTAATGAGTTAAAGGTCCAGGTAGCTAAGAGACTTACACTGGCAAGCCCAGCGAAGTGACGATGCCTTGAACGTGGTAGCTATCAACCGCTACTATCACTCCTGGAGCAAGGATCTACTAAAGATAGCTTACCTCGTGCTGCTGTCAGCTCCGGGAGCTATTCCAGAGTCATCCTTCAGACACTTAGGATTCATCAGCTTGTGCTTGCGGCAGGAAGTCTACAGGTGTCTGGGCTTGGTCCCTAAGTTCGATGAGTAGTCTTGTAGTCCTCGTTGTCCTCGTTGATCTCCCGACGCCGCGAACACCCGTTGACGCCTAGTTGCGGCAGTGCCTCCAGTGAACCATGGATTACTCGTACTTGAATCAAGCGGCTGCGGCTGCGGCCGCCGGCTTCGAGGCTTCTAGCTGTGCTCTGGCTGCCAGTGAGATGCAATGCGGCTACGGGGACCTGAGCTCCTGCTCGCAGATGAGCCAGGCTGCCTACCGGTACACCGCCGCGCGGGCGGCCGGCTATCCGGGCAACACGGGGACCGCTGGTACCGGAACCGCAGCGCCACTAGGGGCCCATCACACCAGCCACTCGCACGCTCACGCGCACCACGGGGCCCACGCCACGCCGTGCTCCGTGATGTCCGCCAGGTCGCAGGAGGTCCATCGCCACGCGATCTTCCCCTCCGCCATCAACCTGCAGAGTGAGTGACGACTTTTCGATTTTGATCGCAGTTGCTAGGGACCTACAGTGTTTCTAGCAATGGAACGATTAACCCCTTGCCGTATGACGAGTGAGAATGATAAAGATTTCTGTTAAAGAAAACTGTTCTGCTATTATTCGTTTGTTGTCTTCAAAGGAAATTTATAGTTATTAGGAAATTGTTGAATTGAATTGTTGTCAATTGTTTGCGAACTGTTGATAATAAGAAGTCACTCGAGCTTAGTGATAGAGGAAGTTGCGTCAAAGGGTTAATCCTTCGCGCTCGAAAGGCTTTTGTTGGGAAGGTTCAATGTTTTGGTATTGAGAAGATTTTGGATAATGTTAGACATATTACAAGCTTGTTGTTTGTTTGCAATTGATAAGGTTTTGATTTATATGGACCTATTTCAATCCTTCTGAGTCTGGTGGAAAATGGAGTTTACTCTGTTTATAGTATTTGATCTTTGGGTATTGTTTATTAAATGAATGTCATCCAGTTGTGAGAATGAGTTGTTTAAATTGAGTTTATTTTGGAGATACATCCTTTTATCAGGTAAATTGTTGGCAAACTATATGTAAATCGAGGGACGGAGATACTTTGTTTCGATGTGTCAGGTGTTGATGTGTTTGATTTTAGTCAAAGGTTAATGTTAAACGTCAGACTTTATGATTTGGTTTTATTGAGTCGTGTGACTGAGAGTCTATCGAGTGCAAAGGGTTAACGTTGAATTTTCTGCTTTTCGTTTGTGAAGTTACACGATTTAGCCAATCAGTGGCTGGATTATCCGAACCAGTGTAGCATTGAAAATATCCCTCAATGATTCTTGGGGGTGAGACCTTTTAATTTCGATGCACATGTTTATATTTCTGTTTATCCAAAGAAAATTTGTGTATATTTGTATGCAATGATTATATAGTGTTATTTCGAAGTACTTATTCAAAAGTTGATTAATGTAATTAAGTGATGTACACTGAAGTCGATTCGTGAACTATGCATTCTTTCATTTCAACACTTTGATTGTCTTCAGCTACCTAACTCTTCAGTTGTTTTTGTTTGGTTTCCTTTTGTGTCGAAGTGTTTACTTCCAGTGGAAATTTAGGACGTTTGCAATGAATGAAAAATATTGCAGAAGAGCACTTGAAATAAAGCTAATGTTATTGCATGAGAGGTATGATAATTCATGATTGAATCGATTAAATTGAGTTAATTAAAAATTTACGGAAATTGGTGTACCAATGAAATAACGGATTTTATTATTTATAACGCCAATACTTTCATTAATTCTCTGTTCGGGGGTTCATTCAATTTTACGAGGCTTTTTACTGCATTAATCTGAAATAATCAGGTAATTGATGAATAATTCGTCACACATCTCGACGAGGTTCAAAAATTCAGGCGAACTCCCTGCAAAATCTCATGAAATAGGAAAATGTACTTTCAATATGCTTAATTCAAGATGAGTGATTCTAAGTGCGAGCAGGAATATCTCACAGATAGTTTTCATAATGGAGAATACTATCGGCTATTATGGATTCAATCAAAAGTTTATTCGAGCTTCTGTTTCACATTCAGAAATAAGTACGTAATTAGATTAACCTCCCCAATCAATTCGTGGCGAGGAGGATACATAGAACAGTTATTGCCATTATCTCCGTCAATTTTATAATACGCTCCAAAAATAAATTAACACGTCCCCAGGATTATTATTAAATCCATGCTAATTAAAGTAATTGGTATATGGTAGTAATATTTTTATTCGAGGTCGATTGCATTGTGAATTTTTATCTGATACAAATTTTTTCTGAATTAATTCGTGAAATCGTTGATCAAATATAAATTTATTTTATTTACTAATTATATTGTCGTAACGATTGTTATAACATTTCTTTTTTATATGTTACAATATTTGGACACTCGATGAATTCATTTTTGCAATCGTTATATCTTTGTGAACAAAAATCGCACAACAATCTACTTGAGCTCATTTTAAAGCGCGAAGCTTCTACTTTAACATTACTGAGTATCATTTTCGAAAAAAATTTTTGCGTTATATGCCAAACGAAATAGTGAAAGTATTTTCCTTTAAAAAATTGTTGCAATTCAGATGTTTATAAAAACTTTGAAAAATTTTTTTCTTGATCGTATCTATTATAGTCTTATAGATTGAAGTTTTCCCTTTCTAACAACTCCTCAAAATCCATTGTACGATTTTTTCTCGCGAAGTTATGGTAATTTTTATATATCAACAATTTTTAGCCACTGCTAGCAGGTCACCAAGCATGTTGTCGTTTCACTTCAATATATGCTCATCTTAAAATTGCCATAACTTTGTGAAAAAAAATCGTACGACACTGTTCTTGGAGTCATTAGAAAGGAAAAAACTCAATCTATAAGACAGTTTTAGACATAATCAAGAAAAAAATTTTTCAGGATCGGTACGCGTGTTTGAAGTAGAACATTTTTTTGAGGGAACATGTCTTTACTCTTTCGTTTGATACATGGTGTACAATATTCTTTCAAAAAGGACACTCAGCAGTATTAAAGTAGAGACTTCACCCTTTACAATGAGCCTGACAAGATTATTGTACGATTTTTTTCCACGAAGTTACGCCAATTTGAAAAATCGACAACTTCTCATAGACTGTCCCAATAGTTGTCTGACCACGAACATCCATTTCCACTTAATATCGCTAAGCTGCGACTGAAATTACTTCCTAATTTCTTTCTTCTACAAATAATTCCTCTCAAAATACAGAGATACATAATCCACTGAAAGTATTAACTTTTATATTTTCTTATTTTTTAATTACCGTTAAACTTCACCGTTACGTCTTTATTACCTTCATTACATCGTAATTACCATTAAACAGTAACTTTAATCAATCTTCTCAAGGTCAAAACTCATTTATTACGCTTTTCATTTGTTTTTCCCTTAATGTACAACACCACTTAAATTTTAAAAAATTTATTAACTCTATCAAAAAGTTGCTTTATTGTGACACGAAGTATTGGACACCATTTGAATAGAACTTTATTTTAATTGCAATAACGAATAAATAATTAATTGGCGTTGAGGTACGTTTTATTCCTGTTACTAGTTATTCATGTAGAGAACTTTTATTTGTTATTTACTATCTATCATTTCTTATTCGCATTTACAAAATCATTAAGGGACTGTCATTCACATTATTATTGATCGGCGAAGTGTTAAGATAGGAAAGTAAGAGTTACAGTGGGGATATACATACACCTATCAAGACATATACCTTCAAATTAACTAATATTTTCCTATTATTAATTGTTACTTTCTAAAGTGAACAATCATATATATATTAACAATCCCTCTTTTCCCTCTCACTACAAAATTTGCAAAAAATCTACTGATGGTAGCTTTTTCAAAATTCATTAAAATATGTAATATTACAACTGGTCCAATATTGTAGCCTACAGAGTGCAAAGGGTTGATAAAATCTTATAACATTCCTTAGACCTTTTATTTTCCATCTCACTATAAAATTCGGTTGCGTGGAAAGTTTAGTAATCTCACGATAACTTTTTCAACATTCATTAAACTATTTAATATTACAACTAGTGCAATATTGTAACCTACAAACCACAAAAGCTTAATAAACTTCTAAAAGATCGTTTAAATGGCAGTACATCAGCATTAAAAAACATTCACCAAAAAGCAGACATTCGAATTCACGGAAAGGAAGATCAGTCGCCATGGGAAACCCAAGGAACACCGAGAATACTCGGGGTGGTTGAAGGGGACGTCTTTCCCGGTAAAAAGAGGGTGGTCCCTCTTTTTTCCCAGGGGAAAGTTGCCGGGACCGAGTCGTCTCCCGGTTGCCTCTGTTTCCTCGAGAAACGACGACAAGATGGCACTGAAAATCAATGGATGTGTCTCGTCCTCCCTCCCTGCTCCTCACCCCTCCCACAGCCGAGCAACCCCTACCCTTTGTCACTCTTTCCCTCGCTCATTTGCCGGCACGTTTCCCTTCCGACTCTCTTCAACGATCGTCGCTATTCTCTTCATCCGTTCTAAACCGTGCTCTGCTCTTTCCCTCCCCTTTTCCCTCCTCCTCACCCCTTTCCACCCCCGACGCCGACGCCGCCCTCCCCTTTCGCTCACTCATTGCTATGGTTACGTTCCTGGCCGTTCATCCGACCGTCCTCACCTATATTCTATAATCTATAAGCCTCCCGGCGGGTCCGAGGCTTCTCTTCCGTGTTTTTGCGCGAGGAACGCGAGAAACGCGGCCTGGAACATACCCGGTGCCGTTTAGGAGAAGAGCGTAACAGCTTTCGTCTTTTCTCGCGTTGTTTCGGTTACACCATGCACTGCCAGCTACGAGATATCTCGCAGTTTGCGCTGTAAACTTGGACTAACTGCTACTTTCGAGAACATCGGATTTAGGGAAGGAAGAAATGAATGATAAGGAATAATGAATTATTTATGATGAAGAAAGAAATTAGTTTTTACTTGAATCGCCTATGAAATCGATTTTTTCGCAGCCAGAAGACCAGGTTTTTAATGTTCCCAGCGGCGAATGGGTTAAACTCTTTGCAGTCGAAAGTCTTTTAGTAGATGTACTCGACGTTTTCTGATGAGATATAGTCAATATTGTTCAAAAAGTAATGAGGAAACATGCATAAGTTAGTAAAGAAGGTATTCTCTTTTGATGTTTCACGTATTGATGCGTTATACGAAATTTAATGTTATTTAGAAGGTTGTGGAGTTTTGTTATTGAATCTAGCGAGTGAAAGGCACCTCTCGAGTGCAAATGGTTAATATTAGTTTTACGATTTAAATGTAATATTAGATATCCGTCAATTTGACGAATATTGAATGTTTTAAACGTTATTGAGGAACGTTTCACACTAAAACTACCGAGCAATCAGAGTGACACGTAGGATTGGTACACCGTAGGAGGCTTTAATATTAACAAAGGTTTATTAAACTAAATAATCAATAAATAAAACTCTTCGTTTATCCTAGCATACTACCCTGTCGCTCAACTGCCACGCACTTTTAACGCTAGAACTACCAAGCAACTGAGTGATTTCTTTTCAATGTTTTATAAATATTAGAATAATACGTTTGAGATTCGAAGAGTCTCTTAACCTTACCAGTATAATACACAAATTCAATTAAAAATCTTTCACTAAAACGCCTTCATAATTGAAATACTAGCAAAATAAAAGTACTGAAGTAGATCAGTTTGAGTTGTTCGGTAGTTTTAGTGTTAACGTTTGTCCAATCACTCTTTCTTTCTTCCACATGCATCTCTTCTCACTTGCATCCTGTCTCTTGCATCCATAGGTAGCATTCTGCAGCTTCTCTAACTCTTCTCTATCATAAAATTCGTATTCGAACTCATAATGAACTATAATCTACGTTATCGCACACTAACATCAACGAAACTTGCTTGACAGATAATTATGTTCAGATTTATGATCAGTAAACTCGAAGTTTGACCTATTACTTTCGTTGTCGTTGTTTGTACATTGATTGGTAACCTTGTTGCTCCTTTTTTCAGGTGGATTAGGGTACAAGGCGTATTCCGGACACGACGGTCTAGCGGAGAAGAGGAAACAGCGTCGGATACGGACGACGTTCACCTCGGCTCAGCTGAAAGAGTTGGAGCGTGCCTTCCAGGAGACTCATTACCCGGATATTTACACCAGGGAAGAAATCGCTATGAAAATCGACTTGACGGAAGCCAGGGTGCAAGTGAGTACTAGATTTTACGTTACCACCGCTCGTTCACTGCATTAACCATTTCAAAATTGCGTCCGAAACGGACATTCCTGGACACAGTGTTTCTATTATTCTAATCGGTTTGTAAGAAGGCAGTATTCTCCAATGAATTGTCTTCAAGAGAGAAATTATACTAAAATCGTAACGCTAAACGATTTTCAATGTATAACATAGGTTGGACCGAGGCGAATTAGATCAGTTTAGATATAACAGTAGCAAAATAACAGTTAAGACTGAGAATGAATATTCTTTTTCATTAATTTCGAAACAATTCCCAACGTTCTGGAAATTTGTATTGCCATCTCCGGTACGATACACGAGTGCAAAGAGTGAAAAGTTGCTCACGGCGAAACGAAAACAGCTGGCCAGACGCGCGTTCAGTGTAACGCGATTCGCGATGGGATGCGATTGCACAGAGCAAAACAAGTAAACGAAAAGCCGACACTTCTCCCCGACGTTTTAACCCGATTATCGAATGTTCGGTGGAAAAATCTTGGAGCGAGCTGGCTCGGACGCGAGGCTTTTTCTTTCGTTCGGTTCTCGGCCGCGGAGGTCCTCCCTCCGGCGCCCGGCAAAATGGCGGGTCGCGAGCGGAGGGGCAAGGAATAGCGGAACGCGTGCCTCGTAATTGCATTACAAGCCCCATTTTCGTTTTCACGGTTACCTGGAAGTCGCCGGTTGATGGATTACCACGTCTAATGCCTCTGATGGATTAACTTGAACCTTCGCGCGCGGAAAATGGGATTCAGGCGATGGCATCGATCGAATCATTGATGTTTATGTATATTATAGATTTCTTAAACATTTGTACTCGCCCATCATGCTGTAGATGACGAAACAAGTTTGTTATAGAACGTTGGAAATTGTTTGAACCCTAGATAACTAGACTTAAATCATTAACATGCTGTAACTAAACATTCATCTCATAGATTACAAATTGGAAACATATTTTTATATTTCTATTTATTTTAAATAAAGTAGCACAACTTGAGATATATGTTATTAGCATTTAGTGTTTATAATACATTTTTATTCTTACAATTAAATATTACCACTGTTATTCTAAATAAGAAATACAGTGTAGAATACATTCTTCTTTTCATAAATAAACATTACCACCGACTTCCCCGAAGCCAACGGAGTTTCCCTCCAATCTCGATACTTCGTTTAATAAAACACTAACTGCGAAGACCTCTACCGAAACTTCACGGCCGCCATTTTGTTCCGCGCTAGCACCTTGCGACGCCGTCGTCCATTACGCTTTAATCGCATTACACGCGAGTCGCCGACGCCGACGGTTTACTGAATGGAATGAAAAATCCTTCCCGTTCCGCGGATCAATTCAAGGTGAATGACTTTCCACGTTCCGTGCTTCATGCATGGATCATGAATGCGAGCGTTTCCCGCGATGCACCGGAGGCAGGTGTCTTGTTCCGGGCCAAAAATAGGCGGGCCCCGGCGCCGCGTGTCTTTCTCGATCCGCCGGCTCGCCGTGTAATAATAATCATAATTGACAATCAACGCTGGTTATATTAATCCCGACCAAGCCACGTGACAACGCGGCAGACGAATTTATTGCGCTTCGATAGCGCCAGCTCGATCGCGCGCTGACGAACGTGAATGGGATTCTGCGAGGAACTGTCGGACAAGTTATCACGGCTAAACTCTGGCCATCTATGGGGTGGCACGATGATTCTGTATTTTATTCGCAATGCACAGGCTTTTTACTATTCTCTTGCTTGTGTCTACTTAACCTTTTAGCTACTGTACGCCACTATAATGACTTTAATGCTAAATCTATCAGACTAGTCAAAGTTACCTATTCCTGATGTCTTCTTTTTGCAATTATTAAGATAACAGATGTTTCTATGGGAAATTATTCAAGAAATTGATTTAGCAATACGCAAACTGAATTGTGAATTAATTAGAGTCTCAATAGATGCGTTCTTGGAATATGTAACTGCTCGGTAATTTTCGTGTTAATGGTAATAAGAAAGTATCTGAAGCACTAGGCGCATGAAATCTGTTTTGGAAGTCTTGAATAGACCTTGGATTGTAAAGAAATGAAAATTTCGAAGCGAATCATCTCACTCTTTTTTTAATACAGTCGGTTGAACATGATTCTGTTATATCTTTGTGGGTGGACATTTATGATTCGTATTTTAATCAATGGTTGACACCATGCAATCTGTATTTTCCGTAATTGCCAAACAGCCTGCTCCCGTTTCCGACACTTATTGCTGACCAGCGAACGCAATTCGCCGGCAGACTTTATCGCTCGTAACGGTAATTGCCGATCCACCGGCAACGTAATCCGGAAATGCGAGGAATTGCGTCACATCGGCGAGTGTAATCCCGTTGATAGCCGGCTTGTGAAAATGTGCTTGGCGTTAACCGAGTTTTCCCGCCGTTGGCCGGCTTCACGTGCACGTTACCATTGTGATTTGATGGTTTTACGGTTGGAAATAGGAGAAATCGATTTGTGAATGTCTATCGCAAACTTTGTGCACGACGTATGATTTATGATAGGGTCCTTCGACCTTCTGTGATAACAGAATTGTTATGGAATTATTAATAGAAATGGGTACTATCATTTTTAATACAAATATTAATATTATATTATACTAATACTACTATTAATAATAATAACAACCACTATATTAAACAATGTTCAATATTATCATTGATAAATGATTAACAAAGGATAACTAATAAATTAATTATCTCCCTTTCATAAAATGTCGATCATTAACCCTTTGTTCTCTGATTTATCTGTTAACTACGGTAATAGAAAAATAACATTCAATTTATATCAGAAAAGAAATAAATAACACTCGGATTTTTCGAATTCAAATTAAAATTTTCATCACAATATTGTAGGTCAAGGGGTTAATATCATTGATACAATTAATACTCACTGTTTCTAATTCGCCAGTTTCATTTACATTGAAATGATTGATTATTTTCAAAAGTTTAAGTTCTCGATGAGATGAAAACAATTACCCATGGATTACGTCCGCGTCGTAAACTGGAGTTTCTACGCACACGTGATAATTAAGCAGGAAGTTACTATCAATTTTCGAGTAGTTTGCGGTGTGACGGGACGACCGCCATTTCCAAGGAGGTTCGCCTTGACGAAGGAGGGTAGTCCTTTGTCGGATCGAATTTTCCCTAATTCGTATCCCAGGGTCCACTACCAAAATACCTTGAAACATTGGATCCCCGTTCGTTCATTAAAAAATCATTCACCGGTAAACGTATCCATTGATATATTAGTTCATTAATTGGGATTGCTCGGTGCTTCATTTGTCCACCGTTTGGTATCTGCTTTCGCTTATCCTGTGACAATTTGATGTTATTAAGAGTTCGCTTGGTGGAGTATAACTATTGGGGATTGTATCTGAATTATTCGGAATGTACGGAGAGTATAGAAAATAGGATAGAGAATATAGAGAATATAGGTAATAGGATAGAAAATATAGAAAATATGGAAAATATGGAAAATATGGAAAATATGGAAAATATGGAAAATATGGAAAATATGGAAAATATGGAAAATATGGAAAATATGGAAAATATGGAAAATATAGAAAATATAGAAAATATGGAAAATGGGATAGAGAGTACAGAAAATATAGAGAATAGGATATAGAATATAGAGGATATAGAGAATACAGAAAATATATAGAACAATGAATATGAAGAACAACGAGTACAGAGAATATAAAGAATACACCTATAAAATAGAGAAAATAAATAGAAGGAACAGAGGAAATATAGACAATTCTTCCTGAACAATATATTTTCCACACCTCTAGAACAACTAATTTCAAATAATTATTTCTCTAACTATCACATAATCAATCTTTCATTCCAAAAATTAACCTCCAAACCATTCATTCACATTCCTAAATCAGATAACAATTAACCAATAAACGGTTAATCCTGCTAAACTATAATAACCGTATCTCCCTGCCACGGTCCAAAAACACGGAAAATGGCGGCAGCCTGGAAAATGTTAATCAATCTGGCAACGAGCCTCCCTTCGTCGGAAGACACTAGCAAGTCCGCCCCCTCCCCCATCTCGATAAATCAACGTCTTGGCGCTGATCCGCTCTGCCCGCGTGTATATTTATGCATGCGCTCGCGCAGGTTGCCCGTTCGCGTTAATGGAGTTGTAATTCATACCGAATGACATGTGACTCAGTACAAGTGGAACGTGTCGCCACGCGACAACCCGCCCCCGGGTGTCATCGACGGGGGTGCTGGCTCGGGGACGCGGAAACAGTTGCTCGGCCACGGTGGATCGACACTTGGCGGTTGCATGGGGTCCCGAATCAATTGAAAGAAGTGGAACGATCTCTGTGCACGCGATTAACCGTTTCAGTGCCACTACTCTTCGCGAAAACGCGGTCGAAAAGCGACGAGCGACGCGATCGCACTTTTGTTTTCGTTCAGAAACTGAATTACGCTTTTCTATTTTTATATGAGAAGATTGTGATTGCCATATCTAAGCAGGTAATAAGAAAAATAAATAATTAAAAGAAATACAAATAATTAAATTTGATTCTACGAACCGATAGAGTTTAGTTAGACTGTTAGTTAGCTAGTTTCGACGATACTCGTCGTGATGAGTATACTTGTCTAAATAACGTGAGAAAGGAACTGATGGGTATTTAATTAGAAATATATATATCGTATTATTTCTACTAACTGAATTTTAGGGGGAAATTAAATAGTTACATTTTAGAGAGAGTTTCAATGATCACAACGTAATTTATTATTAAAAATTAATGATACTTGGACTTCGTAGCGACGTTATAAATTGGAATTAGATAATAGAAGATACGTATTACACCATGTGACTAAACATAAGGCAATTGAATGCTTTGTTATTAAAATGTCATTGAGATTTACACAAAGAAATTCGCATAGTGCCAATAATATCGTGAAAATTCGCATAACGCCAATAT